AATCGTTCGTTCCATCGGGGTTGTGTGTGAAATTTACTTTTTTTTTTTCGAAAGCGAGTACGAAAAAAAATTATTGGAAAACTAAAAAAAAAAAAAAAAAATGGGGGGTGGGTAAGAGGGTGGGGTGGGGTGGAGGGGGGGAGGAGGGAAAACGACGACGATAATAAAAACCAAATCAGCGAATGATAATAAATCTCATATTGACTTCATTTTAGAATTTGTTTTTTTTTTTTTTTTTTAACTAACAATCGTTGAGGGGGGAGGGGGAGATTTTCTACATAGAGAGAAATATCCGGAAACCGGAAATGGTTGCTCCGGCAACAGCTAAGGGGTGAAAATTATTAGCCAATGAAAATATTTGAAAATTTTTTATTGTCTCCGCCTACAAAATGTTTTTTTTTTTTTTTTGAAAAATGTTTCTTTATTTAATTGAATATTTGAACGGGAGTTTTTTCTCTGGAAAAAAAAAAAAAAATTTTCTTTTTTCACCATCTTTATTTTTATTTATTATCATCATCATTATCGAAAAGTGAAAATTTTATAATTTAAAACCCGAAAACGGTTCATTTATCATTTTATTTTTAAGGATTAACGAACATGGGAAAAGTGTTTGATTTTACGTAATCAATTTTCCTTTAATAATATTATTATTATTATTATTATTATTACTCGGTGGTAAAAAGTTTTATTACTTGTAACGGATTAATTTTTTAAAAAAAATTTACATTTTTGTGATTTTTTTTTGGTGTTTTACGTAAAAATACGCGTTCGGTGGTAAAAAAAAAAAAAAATGGAGTTGAGAAGGATTCCAGATTCCAGATCAAATAATAACCGAACATCTTTTTTAATAAAAGATATTTTATTTCGTCATCAGAAGCCATCTTTAACTCAGGTACGATTTTTATTTTTAAAAAAAAATTTTTTTTTTACCAAAAAACAAAAGGAAAAATGTTGAATTGTTTTCCTGCTGGAAATTTAGGTATCTGGATTATCAATACCGGAAGGTTATCACGGAACATTATTACCACCTGGTAATTCACATTTGCATCATCCTCCTGCTGTACATCATTACCTTCACGAGCCTGAACCTTTTTTTTTATCAACACCTGGTAATTATTATTATTTTTACCCCCTTTTATTGTGATTTTTTCCCCGTCGAATTAATAATAATGATTTTTTTTTGAACAGGTTTACCGTTCGGTACTTTATTTACCGGTTTAGATTTAACGGGTAAACATTGTCGTCGAAGAAAAGCTCGAACGGTTTTTTCCGATCATCAATTAACAGGTTTAGAAAAAAGATTTGAAGCCCAAAGATATTTATCGACACCGGAAAGAGTTGAATTAGCAAATGCATTAAATTTATCCGAAACTCAAGTAAGTTTTTACATAACAACAGAAACAACAGCAACAGTAACAATAATTAAATTTTTTTCTTTTTTTTTAAAGGTGAAAACATGGTTTCAAAACAGAAGAATGAAGTACAAAAAACAATTAAGAAAAATAAATCACGATAAGAATAGGCAGACGGTAGCAGACGACAGCACGGGTAAGTAAAATAAATATTTAAATAATTTAAAAAAAAAAAAACCCAACAATTAATAAATAATTAAATAAATAAATAAATGGTAGTAATTTAAAATGGTTTTTTCAAAATGGCTGCCGACGATAAAGGAAAATACGATGAATTTCGTGGGGGGGTTACGTCAACCGTTTTTTTTTTTTTTTAAATTGAAATTTTTAACGTTTTTTTCTATTCGAAAATGTAAGAAAAACGGTTAATTTACCGGAAAATTATATATAAATGATTTAATTTAAGGAAAATAAGAAAGAAGAAAGTCGTCCACAAATTACAACAAGACGAAAGAAAATTTTCAATTAATTACAACAAAAAAAAGAAAACTTTTTATATTGAGAAAATTTACTTTGATGTGACAAAAGTGAAAAGTTTTCTTATTTTCTTTTATATCTTTAAAAGAAAATTTTGTTTTTACTTTCTTAGAAGTAAATAGTTTTCATTAGTTAAAAATTATTATTATGCAGCATCGATATTTTACTCCCCCGCCCCGCCCCCCTTGAAAACCTTTTTCCCAAAGTTAAATTTTGACTCCCTCCCCTCCCCCAATAAAACCCGAAAGTTGGTCGAAAGATGGTAAAAAAAAAAAAAATTTTTATTTTTTATTTTTTTATTAAAGATGTTCCGGTGGATTTTTCCAGAACGTCAAACGGTTCAATTTCTTCAAACGACTGCAAAATAAATATTTATAATAATAATTACGATGGTATACCATCAACGGATAAATACGTTAATAATGGCATCGTTCAAAAATATTTCGATTCGAAAGAAAATGAATATAAATTATTAGAAAAATGTAAATATCGCGTATCACGTGGGAATAATGATGATAATAATGATGATGATGAACAACTTATACGTAAATTAAAATCAAATGATTCATCGAAATATTATTATGGAAATTATTTAGATATTAATAATAGTGATAAAGAAAAAAAAAGAAATTCGTTAATTAATAATAATAATAATAATGATGGTATGAATGGTTGTAATAGTGATAGTGATGATAGCGATGATGAAATTGATATTGTCGGAACTCAGTGTTAGTTTTTGATTTATTTATTCATATGTATAACATTCGAATTTTAATCCATATATTTAAATAATTATTATTATTTAAAAATATAATCCATATTTATAGCCATTTTGTACGTGATGATTTTTTTGTTTGTTTAACAGTGTTGTCAAACCGTCTGTGTTGTTGTTTTTTTTTCTTACGAATTGTTTAATACACACAAAAAAATATATATATATATATGTATAAATATTTTGCTTATTATTATGTTTTTTTGCCGTTTAAAATTTTTATGATTATCACTTTTGAACGTTTTACGTTAAAACAGTCGTTACGAAAATAATGTCGCCATTTTTAAAAAAATTAGTTTGTTTTTTTTACGGTAGAGCGTGTTACTTACCGCGTTACATTTTACCGGTTAAAAATCAATATGACGGGGAGGCGTCGTCTGCAAATTTGTTTTTTTGAAAAAAAATTAGTTTCTAATTTATATTTTGTGCTTGCGAGTGATAGTTATTTATTTTTATTAAAATGTTATTATAAAGTGAATTTGTTTTCAGGAAGTTATTGATTAAGAAATGACAGTTAATTTGTCATATGTTTTTTTCTTAGTTATTATTATAACAGTGGCGAGTTCGAAACCGTTTTTTGATTTAGTAAACGGAAATCCACATTTTTCATCGACTTATTTCGAAAGAAAAAATAGCGCATCTGGAGAATTTGTGGATGTATTTATTAACAAAAAAAAAAAAATAAATAATAACTATTATATATTATTTTGCTCGAAAATAATTGAGATTTATATATTTTGTTTTTAAACTTTTTTAGGTATTGAAAATAGAAAAAAATTGCGGTTTGCAAAAATCATGTCCGGAAAATTCATTTTCAATTTTTTTATCAACCGGTTGTTTTCCAAATACAAAACCGAAATTATGCATAAATGGTTTGAACATAATAAAACCATTGCAAAAATCCGATGCACGAGGTCTCAACATAGCAGTTGTTCAGCAGAATAATTTTGATATAATTTCAGTAAAAAATTTTGATACGTACAAATATAATAACTCAAATGAAATTTCCTCCTGGATAAAAGGAATATCAGAAAATGATATAATAATTGCATTCACGTATGACGAAGCTTCGAAAAAATTAAAAAAGGAAACGATTGATTTATTAAATAATTTAGGAAGTGGTAAAATACAAAATTTACAATTTCGTTCTCAATGGTATATGATAACGCAAAAAAGTAATGATGGTATGAAACCCAAATTTATTTTTTTTTGTAAAATTTTCTCCCTAATTTAAACCCCCCTTCCTTATTAATTGTTTTTTTTCGTCTGTTAGGTTTTACCATATACGAAAAGTTAACGTATGCAAATCATAATGAATGGGCAAATAGAATTGAATTTAAAGGATGCATACCTAAAAATATACCGAAAAAATTCACCATAGCCGACGAACCTTTTAAAACAAACGTTAAAAAAAATAAATTTTGCGAAAAAAAAACAAATTCCGAATTCAAGGGATTTTGTAACGAAGGAAGATTCGACATGATTATGCCAGCTTTATTAACAAATAAAAGTCTAATAAATAATTTAGTTTATACTTTACCGATTTATATTTATGCGAGTACAAATATAGAAATTTTAATATCATCCATGGATAGCTTAATTCACCAACCTGGTATTGTACAGAAACAAATTACAATATTACATTGGGAAAATAATGAAGATATTGAAAGTAAGATGTTGACAAATAATAGAGGGGGAAAACATCAAGAAAACCTTTTTGTTTACATAATTTTTATTTATTTTAAAGATATTGCAAAAATATATAATGTCCGTTTCATTAAAACGGATAATTTCACAACGTTCGAAGAAAAATTATCGGGAGCACAAGAATTATCGAATAAATTTCATCCAACTAAAAACTATTTGATTGTTATTGATTCTGACGTAATACCATCGCCGGATTTTTTATTTTTCATGGCACAATTACTTCCTGTTTTGAAAAAAGATCCGGAAGTTTCATTCATAACCGGTTGGAGTTCTAATTGTTATAAATCAAAGGGAAATGTTCATTTGGCTTATAGAATTTACGGTACTCCCATATATGCCGCATTGATTTCTGCTAAAAATAAAAGTACATTTCAAGGTGACATGTTTGCTCCTGACGTGGCAAGAGTACAAGGTCCAGATGTGTGTCACCTTCCGAGCCTGGAATGGGGTAAAATATATCATAAAGTTAAATATTTACATCAAAAAAAAAATCTTTATTAACCCATACTTATCATTTTTTTTTAGATAATTGGATAGAACGTCCACAAGACCTGATAAAAAGTCGTTATTTTCATAAGTTGGTAATGTTGACTCAATTAAGTCAAATCATCGACCCGGAAGAAATATTAAAATCGTGTTCATCGTCGTTAATTAAAAACGATACGAATGCAATTTATATAAAATCCGACGATAAAACAATTCCGCAAATACTTAAATGTTTGGGAATAATAAATAATCAATATGGAATGTATCACGGTATCGTTAGATTGTTCATTCGCGGTAAAATTGTTTTATTAATAACGAGTAATTCGACTTTTTATAAATCACGTCCGATTACGTCAGTTTAAAAAAAAAAAAAAGGTATTTTTACTCTATGGTTTATTTCCGGTGTCGTTGCCAAGTTACCGACGACAACAAAGTTTTTTTAACTTTTAAACCAACGTTGTTATTATTATTATTATTTTTTATTTATTTATAATTAACGTAACTAAATTAAAAATGGGTGATGCACAATTAGATTATAATTGTAGGTTGACATTAGCAGAACAAAAACCTAAAACATCTTATGAAATCGGATTAGCTTATACTCCAGGACAAGTTGATATGCAGGAAAGATTGCCTTTTCCTCCTATTCCTTATATAAGAACGGATGAAACGTATAAACCCGGGATTATATACACGCCAAAAGAAGGATTAAAAACTACTTACAGTACGTATATAAGAGAAGAAAATTATTTATTAAATATTTGTTTTGTTTTTATGTATTCGGCCATATTTGTTTTTTAAAATATTTAGATGAAAATTTTGTTGCACCGATCGCGGATGACAATTTAAATAATTTGCCATCGAAACTATTATCACAACATAGAGAATATCCTAAATATGATAAATCCATTTTGCCGGGAAAGTTTGAAATTAGCGAATACAAAGAAGAATATCCTATAAGGGATTTTGAAAAACCTTCGAAAGGGATCGACATAGAGCGTGAAACAACATGTCGGGTAAACAATTTTTTTATTAATATTAATTATTTGTTGATATATATGTTTGATAATTATTTTTAGATGATACTTACGGGAAGAGACGAAAGAGAATCATTGCCTTTCATTCAAAATTATAATAAATATTTAGATATATATTTAAGCACGAGTAGATTAGCTCACAGAGCTTTTACAGTACAAGAGCAAAGAGGTATCGCTATGAAAGATATAATTACATTTCCGGAAACGATGGGCATTCCAAAAGTAATCATTTCCTGTTTAACTGTTGTAAAAATTAGCCTTCGAGTTATAATAAAAATTTATTTTTATAAATACATTTTAGGGACGCGGATACGGTTGTAAATTTCCCGTCGTTTCCGGTAGAGTTTTGGATAATCGTGATCCAAACATGGTCGATAAATTATTATTTCCGATCGATGCAAAATTAAGATATCTACCTAAAGGAATGCCCAAAGTACCTCATTTGTAAGAAAAAATTTTTTTTTTTTGAATATTTAATCGGGGAACATCGGGATAAAATTTATAAAAAAAAAAAAAAAAAAAATTATATTTTCCAGCGGGTGCGAAACCGAAACTCAAGCATCATTTACAAGACCAGAGGGTTGTGCAGTTACAAAAACATTTGCAAAATTTGGAGAATTTAATCAGTGTATTATCACTCCAAGTACGAGACAAGCCATGTCTTCTCCAGGAATGTACACGACTGAAAGTAACGTAATACATAATCACGGTTCTCCACAAGCTGTTGTGTAGTTTTTATTTAAATAATTTTCAAAAATGATAATTATACGAGAATGTAATATATAGAAAATGATGTAAAACTATTGAAAATATAAAAAGAAAAAAATATATAATTAATGTAAAGAATAAAATGGCTTCGTGTTTTAAGAAAAATTAATAGGCTTATATGTATACATAATAATAATCGTTCAAAAAACATTAAAAAGACGTTAATTTATTTATTTAAGAAGAAAAGAAATTAAATTAATGACTTATAGTCTGACTGTCTCTAAATACATAAATTAAAAATTTTAATTATGTAATTTTTTTTTTTTATCTTTTATCTCTCATTTCCGGCGGTTTATCAATATTTAAAAAAAAAAAACCGTTTTTAATGTAGAATATTAAAGTAATTTTACCAAAAAGATTTCGAATCCACATAAGAGAGGAGTTATTATATTTATTTTATAAATGAATTTTTTTTTTTTTGTTCTTTTAAATAATTAAAAAATAAATTATACGTGAGTACGACGACTTCCTTTTAATTATTTCATTAATTTCTTAATGTTGTATCTCTTCTCATTCGGTCGAATTAAAATTTTCTTTTTTTTTTTTTTGTTACATTAGGCATTTTAAATTTGTTGTACGTGTAAGGGTTTTTTTTGTTTGCGATGATAAAATAATTTAAGTAAATTTTTGGCGGTTTTTTTGCTTTTTTTTAGGCAAATAAAGGTAAAATAATTTTTTTTAAATTGTCGATTCTCATTCGTTAAATATTTATTATTTAGGTTTTAGTTACTTTATAACGTTTATTTAGTATTTTTTTTATTTGAAATTTTTTAATTTTGAAATATTATAAATAAAATATTATTAAATATTTACATAAATATTAAAAGTTTTAATTTTATTTAATTATTAATACTGCTACTGACAAGTTTATATAAACACGAAAATCAATTTCAACAGGTGCCATTTTTAGTCACGTGATCATGTTTTAATTAACGTATTTTTTGTAAAACCGAATATTGAAAGAAATTAAATAGTATAAATTTTATGAATGCATTATGTAGTTTTGTACGGAATTATTTACATAACGTAATTTTTTTTTGTTTTTAAATTATATTTTTAAACAAATTCAATCTAACCATTATACAATTTTTTTTTTTAAAGACAGATCGGCGGTGAATGCCAAATTCTGGTTAAAGTCAAAAGGTAGTTGAACATTTTAATTATGGATTATGATTATGATTTGGATTATCGTGAACTACAAAATGACCAGGATCCTTATTATTACACAGGAGAGAATGATGAAGACTATGAAAATTTAGAACCTGATGTCACATTTGAACAAATTTTTCATATGTGCTTAAAGCCAACATTATATGAATCTTTTAGAACAGTATCTCACATTTTCATTTTTTGTATAATTTATAGGTAATTGATTATTATATAGAAAATTTGGATTTTATGTGAATTTCTTAAATTAAAATTAATAATTTGATTTCAGGTGTTCTTTGTGTTGTATCAAAACACCAAGCGTTATTCAACATTTAATCAGTTTTGTCACTGGTTTTTTAAGTTTGTATTTTTTATTTTCAACCAGTGTATGTTTTATACTCTTACTTGCTCTTTTTAGTCATATTTTACTTTCCCTCACAACATTCTTTCAGTGTGTAAAATATAGAAGTCTGTCACTTATTGTTTTTACCTTTTTGTATCTTGTGATTTGTGAACTGTATTTAGTAGATGAAAGACATTGGCATCGAATTAGAGGTTCACAAATGATAATCGTTATGAAAACAATAAGTCTAGCCCTCGATTTAGATTTGGGAAAAATGAAGACTGCTCCAAGTGTTATCGAGTTTATCGGTAATTATAAATGTTTTTGAGTTACTTCACACCTTGTGTAAGTCACTAATAATTTGTTTGTATTTTACAGGATATTTATTATGTCCCAACTCATGTATATTTGGTCCATGGATATCGTTTAATCAGTATACTTTACACTGCAAAGAAAAATTGAGTTTTAGATCTGCATTTGAAATAATTGCCAAGATTTTTTTAGCTTTTTTATTTTTAACAATATCAACGTGTTGGTGTGAGTATTTCATTCCTCCTACAAACTGGAAATGGTTGGCTGCTTACAGGTAAAATTGCACTTATTGTTTTTTGTTCGTTGTAAAATTTTTAAATTACTATTGTTTTATAAATTATTATTAGGGATGCCTTATCCTTTCGAAGCAGCCATTATTTTGTGAGTTACCTCTCTGAAGTAACTATATTATTAAGTGGTTATTCTACGAATATTTTCAACGGAGTTACAAAACCGTTGTCTGTTGAATTTCCCAGATCGATTGTAAATGTTGTTATTTATTGGAATATTCCAATGCACAATTGGTTAAAAATATACATTTTCAACACGACAAAAAAATTTGGAAACTTCATTGCTATTTTGTCTACATATACTGTAAGTTTTATTCACATATTGTTTCGTACCAAAAAATAATAAACGATTATTTGTATAATTTGTGTAATTTATTTCAGGTAAGCTCGTTATTGCATGGAATAAGCTTTCAATTAAGTGCAGTATTATTATCTCTAGGGGTTTATTCTTATGTTGAAGTCATGTTAAGAAAAAAATTAGCAACAGCTTTCAGTGCTTGCATTATGGTAATTAAAATTTAATTATTACTCGAATACAATTTCGCTTTGTCATCATACTTATCGAGGCATTTTATTATTTTCAGGCAAAAAGTTGCAAGTCGACTTGTGGACACATGTATAGAAAATATCATCCTTTGGTATTTCTCGTCAATATTTGTTTAGTATTATTGACAATGTTTCATTTAGCATATTTGGGAGTTGTGTTTGATTCTAGTCAAGAGGAAGATACAGGTTACACATGGCGTCACGTTTTAAAAAAATGGTCCAGTTTAGATTATCTCAGCCATTATGTCGTATTTTTGAATTACATCATGTATTTTTTCATCAAATAAGATGACATTTACTTTTGTAAATGGTGAGTACACTCTTAATTGCATTATATTCGAGTAAAATAAATTTGGTTCCCCCGCACACCACCCCTCCCCCCAAACAAAGTTCTTTTTCTTCGGTTAAAAATTTTTTTTTTTTTTTGGAGTGACTTTGAACTTAAAAAAATTATATTTTGTAAAATACTTACTACTCTAACCTTAAGGTATTAACTCATATTCAAGGTTGAGAGTGTTTCGGTTTAAAAATAATGTTTTGTGTTGACATAAAATTTACTATTGAACAAATGAAAAATATCTCTTGTTGACTATTGAAAAGGTTAAAAGGTTGCAATGGTGATTGCTATACGTTCCGCGTACGCTTGTAAATCATGAGTAATAATAACATTCAAGGCTCGCCGAATGATTCATTACAATAAAAAAAAAAAAAAAAAAAAAAAAGTCAAATCTTGCCAAAGTTGAGTTTTTATTCATTTTTTTTTTTAGTGAGAGAGAGAGAGAGAGAGAGGGAGGGAGGGAGAGGGAGAGAGGAATATATTGATGAGTAACAGGGATCAAGTAATGGTTGATCTTACAATCAAGGGCAAGGACGATTAAGGTCATTAATGACATGGATAAAAAAAAAAAAAAATAGAAGAAGACTGGAAAGTTCATCGTAGTCTCACATACGAATGAAAAAATATTTTTATATATTTATTTTTTTAAATACAATAATCGTACCTAGTACCTGAAAGTTTTTTTTTTTTTTAAGAAATCGTATTGTTATTAAAAATTTAAGGACTTTATCACTTTGTTACTTTCGTTCTTTGTTTACATTGACAAATTGTTGTTGTTTTTAATCTTCTTCGACATTGCAAAAAAAAAGGGAAAAGGGGGAGGGGAAATGATTTTACAATTGATTTAATGAGGAGGAAGGAGGACATTGATGAAGATTTAAGAGAAGGTTTTATTTCGTCTCATGTGATTTCCCCAACCCCCCCGCACCTCCCCATTTCGTAACAAGTGGGAAGATTATCAAATTATATAATATATATTTAATTTTCCTTGACACCGTTAAATTTTTTTTTGTTTTGTTTTGTTTGGTTTTTTTCTTCTTTTTTCTTTTTTGTGAATAATCGTTAGAATAATAATAATATGAAGAGAGAGAGAGAGAGAGAGAGAGAGAGAGAGAGAAATGACGTGTGATTTTTTTTGTGAATTTTAATAAGGTGATTTTTATAATTTTCAACAAAAAATGAGGAGATGGAAAACTGAAAAGATTTAAATTATTAATTATTATTATTATTATTATTATTATTATTATTATTATTATTATTATTATTATTATTATTATTATTATTATTATTATTTTAAACGATGACGAAACGGTGATAAATGAGAGAAAAAAAAAATTTATTAAATATCGTATACGTAATTTTTATTATCATATTGATAAGAGCGAGGAAGTTATTATAACTCACTATCAATCATTCGATAATTATAATCATCGATTAATAATTTAAATAAATATTTACCGTCAATGATGTAAATAAATATCAAATGGATTATTATTAATTATAATAATAATAATAATAATAATGATAAAATCTATTACTTTATTTGCATAAGAGATGAATCGCAACGTAAAAACTTATCAATTTAACAACATCTGTTTAAAAAAAATTCATCCTTTTGATAAATTGAACCTTGACCTCCTCCTCCTCCCCCTTCCCTATGAAAAAAAAACTTTGCCGAGTGACAAACTATAAAAAATATTATTATTATTATTGTTAGATGACATAAAAAATGATGAAACGTAAACGAATTTAAATTAATTTGATTTTGCCAAACGAACACAAAATGAAAAATATTATTATTAAAATGTTGTTGTTGTTACGTGAAATTGAATTCAAATAATAATAATACTTAATAATAATAATACTTAATAATAATAATACTTAATAATAATAATACTTAATAATAATAATAATACTTTATTGTTATAATAGCTCACTGAGGGGGATTGCGACATCCAACAGCCAAACAGTCGAAACGTCATCAATTCCCTGTACAGGATTAAGGAAAGAAGTGAGAGGGTGGATGATTCGTGGACCAAAGACAAAAAGAAATTCTGAAAATGATCACGTGATTAACCTAAATCCTAATTTTGGATTCCGTGCAAGAAAATAAAATAAACCAAAAGGGAATAAACAATGAAAGACTTAAAAAATTGCATTCGAATAATTATTATTATTAATAAAAATTGGGAAAAACATTTTAAAAGAAGAAGCAGCAGGAAGAGTAAGAGGAGCAGGAGCAGCAGCAAGAGCAGGAGCGAAGGCAAAATTTTAATGGACGTTTAATGGAAATGACGTGGAAATAGCATCAACGTTTAACTTATACCTCGTCGCAATTCGACAAAAGTAAGTTGAAAAATTTTTTTTCAAATTTCTTATGACACGAAAAAAAAAAAAAAAAAATGTCGACGATATTGTCTTTCCAAAACGAAGTTTGTAAGGGGTTGTGTCGTTTGTTTGTTGTTTGTCTGAACAACAACAACAACCAAATTAATTTCAAATTCGTGGATCCATCAATCTGCGGGATTTTTTTTTTTTTTTATAATTAAAATTTTAACATGTCGGCTCTTTTTTTAATTTAATTTGCAATCAAAATCCGGTTTTTCCGTTTTGGACGTTGTAAAAAAAAATCCACGAAGTAATTTAAAATTTTTTTTATTTTATTAATCTTTTTAAACATCGAAAATAATAACGATAATAATTTTTAACAACCTCCTACAAACGACTTGGTTGTTGTTGTTGTTGTTGAGTAAAGGAAGGGAGTATAATAATTGGAAAATCCGATTTTAAAAAAAAAATGAGCATCGTTTGAGATCTTTCGAGTTTTTTAAATAATTTCGTTTCGAACATTCTGATGCCACGACCGAGAGAGAGATAGAGAGAGAGAGACATCGTTAACGGCAAAGAAAGAAAGAAAATAATAATAATAATAATCGAACAGGTTTCAAGGTTGCGGATTGACGAGGCGCGAATAATGTTTAGATTGTTATTATATAATACAATAATAGATTTGTGCGAAAACGTCATCGCAAAAAAAAAAAAAAAGAAAAACCCACGCTCGGTTTTGTTTTGGCCCCGAAGAAAAATTAAAAGGAAGCCTCCGGGCTGCTGGAATGAATCTCGCTCATGGAAACATGTTCTGGAACATCGTTGGGGAAAAAAGGGCGTTGCTTGCATTTCTCGATTGTGTTTTTTTTTTTGCGAGCGCGATCATCCGGGTATATTATTATCATTATCTTAAGGCAGTTTTTTTTTTCGGGTATGATGGATTGTTTTATTTTTACCGCACGCACTCACGCACACGCACGCACACACACACGCACTCGAGAGTTTTAATTTAATATGATTCACGGATTCATCATGAAAACCGTTGAGGATTCGTTCCAAAAATAGAATTTATTCAACTTGTTTGAGAATCACGCAATCGATTTTTTGCGTGCGTGTTGTTTATTATTATTATTATTATCATTCTCGCGCCACGTTTTTTATAATATTTATGACGGAAGCAAGTTTGGAAATTGTCGGAAAAGTTTAGGGATTTTTTTTGTTGTTGCTTCCTTTCCGTTACAATTTTGTTTGTTTCTTTTTGATAGAGATGCGTAGGGAAAAGACGAAGCAGGGGGTTGGGGGGAAAGGCGTATCGGGTAAATAGAAAGAAAGAAAGAAGGAAAAATTCACGATTTGACGTGTATCGATTAATTTGTTTTCGTTTATCGATTAATTTAACTGGAACTGGATTATCCAGAGACGAGGTGATTGTCCCTTCCTCATTTCCTCCCTTTCTTCCTCCCTCCCTTTCTCCTCCCCCTCTTCATTTCTTTTTATTGAAAATTTGTTGTTTATTTTTTTTAAAGTTCAAAGAACTTTTTTTTTTTTATTTTTTTTTTTTTTCAAATGCGTGGAGAATTAAAAATGGCGGTAGTGCGGAGGGGGGGTGATGGTAGAAGAACGACGAAGATGGTAAAAAAAAAAAAATTAATTTGAGCAACTTTTTTTTTTTATATATTTATTTTTAGAGGGAAAAGAAGAAGAAGACGTGGGAGGGAGTAAGGAAGGAAGGAAGGGCAATCGTGGCATTTAAATTTTTTTATCTTATTACACGACGGCGTTTAAAAAATCAAGTTTTAACGTTCGCTGCGTGGGTTTAAAACTTTTCTCATTATGTCAATTTGTTTTAAATTTAATTTTTTTTTTTTTTGCGCATTTTAAAATTTTGAAAATCACGTTTTTCATTATAAAAATGGCAACAACAACAAGAACAACCACAACAACCGCAACAACAACAACAAAAAAAACCACTCAATTTTATTTTTTTAACAAACGTTCAATGAAACAATTTAAAAACGGTAATTAATAAAATTTAATTGTTTGTTAGCGTATTTGTAATTAGCGGGCGGGGCGGGACGGGTAGAAATAAAATAAATGTCGAACTTTAAATTAAAAAAAAAAAAAAATTCTAGAAAATTCTATTAAAGAAAATTATGATGGATGCCTTCAGGTGAGCATCATCACGGGTTTATGAAAAAAAAAAAAAAAAATCTCCGATCGGAAACGAGCGAGTCATATTTTTTTAATAAAAAAAAAAAAAAAAATCCTTGAAAAAATATTATTATTATTATTATTATTATTATTATTATTATTATTATTATTGAAAAACAAACAAATTCGAACATGACGTCGAAAACGTGGATTTTAGTTAAAAGAGAAAAATTTCGTGGCAGAAAAAATATTTCGTTTGACCGTTAAATAAATAAAAAAAAAATTTTTCGCGTTAATGAATTTATTAACGGTTTTTTTTTTTTGTTTTCGACTTGAAACGGTAGCGACAACTTAAAAAAAAAAAAAAAAAATCGATTTTGTCGAAATTGCGACAAACGCGCACGTTCATTCATTTACCCACTCAAATTTTTTTTTGCACCCATATTGTTTTCCATAATTTAATTTTTTGTC